GAGCGGGCCCCCCGGCTGCCAGCCTCGGGTGCACCCAGGGCTGCGGCTCCCTGCGCCACGTGCTCACGACAGAAACGCGTTGTCAGCACCCCAGGGCCGAGGCGCGCCGGGGGGTGATCCTGAGGAGCCGGTCTGCACCTGGATACGCTACGCCTCAGGGTGAGCGCCGAGGGCAGACTGAGCAATTCACCCCTGAGCTGCCCGAGGGGCTGCTGCAGCATTTGGTGCTGTTATACTGCAGCGCTGGCCCTCTGAGAACCCAATCTCTGCTTCTTTCTCTGAAAATGAGCAGTCCCGGAGATGAATGATGCAGGAGGTCCCCTTCAGCGCTGCCTTGTCCTGCTAATAGCACTGCTGCTTGTGCTTCACCCCTCACAGAGCCACGGCAGCTACCTGGACATCAGGCAGTGCGGAAACAGCCAGGAGGCCAGCCGAGAAGGAGTGTCGCTCTCGTCTCACAGCTCCCGGCGCTCCTCGCACACGGCGCTCTCCGACTCTGCGTGTAGGTGTCAGCGCGGCCCAGGGACCCCTCGGGAGGAGGGCGAGGAGTGGGGCTCGAGGCCAGAGCAACCTGCGAGCCCTCAGGAGCTGGGCTGGGAGTCTTCCAGTGGCTCCTTGACAGTGACCAACTCGGAGGGGGGCTGGAAGTGCTGGTGGAGACGTCCTCCAGCCACTCGGCCCCAGGGCTGACTTACTGGCCTCGACGAGTGGCCGTGCAGCAGCAGAGCCATGGCCGTGTACAGTGTCCTCGCTCATAGCCCATTGCAAACACGAGAACAGGATTTCCCATTTGCCATCAGCTAAAACTTGTAGCTCTTTGCTGTGACTCAGCTGATAGGAAGTACCTCGCTAGCTGGAGTAATGATTGTTTATCAGAGTCCATGGCTCACTGACAAAACTTCTGTTGTAGGAGAGTTAAAGTCCTGCTGCTAAATCACTGTAATTTTCTACAAGGCTCTCAAGATGGAGCGTAAAAGGCCACCTGGCCTAGCAGCTTCATGCGAACTGCTGTGAACCCTCTTGCTGCACTAAGATGCTGCAGCAAGGCAACCGCAAGGCCCTTGCTGGACCGTGGCATAGGAAGCAAACTCAGTGGACTTGTTCTTGAAGTGTTTGACAGAGGGAAAGTGGAAAAGCTCACTCTGAACAAGCAGAGAGAAACACTTAGAGAAAGCTGAAACCGAGAGTTATCAAAAAGGCGCCGAGCTAGTTAGACTGGGAGCGAGAAAGACAACAGTCATGAGCAGTTTGAGGATCAGCTCAGCTCGAGCTGACTCCTGCATCATTCCCATGCTTAGGAGATTATTATTGCAGATGTGTTGGTAAGGACCAACAACAGCCCTTGGCTGTAAGCAGCAGCAGTTGCAGTTGCTGCTCATCTACATACGCAGAGAGTTCAGGCTTAGCCAGGGTAGCCAGGAATGGGTTTGGTGTCCTCTGATTGCTGCCATATCACAATAAACCTTCTTTTTTCCAGCCACATCATCAATGCGACACACAGATACCAGCACTCCCACCAGGCCATCAGTGCCAATGGGTCAATCGGAGAAGGCAGCCTTGCGACTGGCATCAAGTGGAAGCGCTCAGGTAGGGGCTCTAGGGGTGAGCATAAGCCTTTTTTGACAGATGCCATTAAAAAAACGAGCCATCAAAAGCCTCTCCACAGCAAGGGGCTTTACAGGCCTACATCTCCCCCTCAGCTGGATGTGCAGAGCCCACAGAGAGGTCTGATCCCATCTCCACCTGTGCTGGGCCTCAGGGTAGCTGGAGTTTCCCAGGGCTGTGAAGGAGCTGCCTGCTCTCAGCACTGGTGGACTGGTTGGACAGAGGTTGCACCGGTGCCTCTTGTCTTTCGGGAGTCAGTTTGCTCCTCAAGGCTACACGCATTCTCATACCACAAGCTCAGTTTTCTCAGGGTTTGTACATGTGAAGTGAATGTCATCCAGGATGTTTGAACGACGTTCAAACTGAGGATTTACAATTAGCAGGGAGGCATGCCTGAGGCTGAATTCTCCCTTTAGACACATCTTCAAACCTCCATGTGGAATTTTCTAATTGCAAAATTCATCAGTGAAGTTTGCATGGCTACTATGAGTTGATACAACACCAATGAGCAGGTCTTCTGGCACTGTACAGTAGAGGTGCTATGGACCTAAAATAAGGGAAAGTTTTCATTTCTAGGCCATAGCAACTCCTCAAGCCCCTGGTGACCACCTCACTCAGCATCCTGTGGCTCAGCCAGCAGTTCCTTCTCAGCAAGCTGTGATGGTACGTGTTTTATTTGTGTTAAATGCACTTGTACGGTCGGTCTACTGGGCAGACTTAGCAGCTCCAGTGACCTGCACTCCATCTCATTGCTGGTTGAGGGTTGAAGAGCTTTATGCTGGCTGCGCAGGGCTATTCTGGCCATGCAGGTAGTGCAGAGAGTCCACTGGAGCACGTCACTCAGGTGTTAAACACACACAAGTGTGACAGGTGCTAGGTTAGTAAAAATTGAGGTGAGAAACACGTCTCTAGAAAGCTCCCATGGAGTGCATTAGAGTTCTCTGTCTTTATCTCACCCTTAGGACTGGCTCTTGGCATTACGCCCAGCTCCAGGCAGGAGATGACGCATTTGCACTGCTCTAGGAGCAGTGCAGAGGTCATGCTGGGACTCCCAGCAGTCATGGCATAGATCTTATTTTCTTTCTTGTTCTTGGGAGGAGCAGCCTACCCTCATGATGATAACTTCATCCTTTCCATGCTGGTGTCTCTATACTGGTTGACACATCTTGGGGAGAACAAGCTCTCCATCCTTCGCACCTATCCACGTGCCAGGGAGGGAGCAATGGTCTGTGGCTGCCCTGGCCAATCCCAGCTTGCCACATGAGGCCAAAGTGGCTCCCGGGGGCAACTGGAAAAGCTGGAGTGTTCAACGCCCTTTTTATTTCTCTCTGCCACGGAGATTTTCTTACAGTGAGACTCTTACCACCACTTATTCAGCAAGGAGACAGAGCAGGTAGAACAACAAATGACCAGTCTGAAAGAATATTTAGATTTACCCAGGCTGTTAGGGCCTGCTGAAGATTCACCTCTGAATTATTAGCGACTCACTCTAAGAACTGGGAGCAGAAATGGTGGTGTCATAGAGGGTTTAGATAAGCGAAGGAAAAAAAAAAGGGAAAAAGCGGGAGCCAGTAAATCATAACCAGTCAGCGAAGTCCCATCCTCACAGGGTCAGGTAGTAAACATCCAGTATCCCCGAACATAGCAGAGGGATTGAAGATAGCCAACATGGGATGTTAAGGGTGGCTCCCAGGGTGGGGATTACAATCCAGCTTAAGCCTGGCTGTTGGGATAATCAACAGCAGAACTGGACCCCCCCCCGCAGGAGGTGCTGCGACAGTTAGTTAGAATTCAAAGTGTCTGCTGCGAAATATAGGTGGTCCAAAATGAGCGCAGTATCACACTTAAGAAGGAGGGGAATCACATGCACAGGCAGGAGCGTAGCAGAAGGAGATCTGGAGCGAACCACAGCGTGTGAGCCAGTGTTGTGCTGCCATTCTGGTAATATGGTAATACTTTGGGTGAAATATGCAATTCGCTTTTTTTTGTCAGCATCATCTTTTCTGTGTCAAAAGCTGCTTCTTAGAGAATAATGTTTCGGGAAGCTGCCTGCCCTGCACAGGCACAGTCATTTTTCTGAAGCCAGCACCATCACGAACGTGAGCGGCAGCACTGGTCCCGCCTGTGACCTGTTCTCTGTTCTCCGCAGCCAGTGTACCACTTCCCCGCGCAGCTGGGGATGATGCATCAGCTGAAAGAGCAGCTGGAGGAGAGGACTCGCATCCTGCAAGCTGACATCAAGACACAGCAAGAGGAGCTGCACGTCATCAAGGAGCAGCTCCAGCTAGTGCAGGACTCCAACCTGCAGGTGCGCAGCCACCCGTGGGTGCCCGGTGCTCACCTCTCTGCTCGCCGGGGACCCACAGACCCCTTGCTTTCCTTTTGAGCACTCAGCTCAGTAACAAAATTGTCCGCAGCAAAAGCATTTAGAAATGAGCTCTGGTTAGACTGGTAGTACAGTCTCAGATGTGTGAGCGGCTGGAGAGGTATCTCCTGAGAGAGAGGAGGCATCAGGATCTGTTTAAAAGTGTTGAATCAGTAATTTTCCTGTTTTGGGGGGGAAAAAAAATCCTGAAGAAGTGATCAAATTAATCAAGAGCACCCTCTGCATGACTTGCTCTGAGGTTTAATGGCTGGTTAACCCTGCTGCATCCCTAGTCCCATTCCCAGCTCCCTCGCACTACTCCTGTGAACGTGACAGGCCTAAGGGGACCGGAGCGGTCGTGGCTCTGCATAAATATCGCTGCCCGTGCAAGCCGCCGGGACGGGCTGCCAGGGATGGCCTTTTGGATGTGCCAGAGGCGCGTGAAGGAGAGGAGGAGATAAACCGTTGCCCACAGATGACCAGCTGTGTTGGGGGGGGCCATGCGAGACCGCCTGACAACGCTGGATTCACAGTCCCGCTTGCTTGATGCCACAGGGTCAGATGCCCACCCTTAGCCACCCCGGGCTAGGCGAGCGGAGCTGAAGTGTTCTGCCTCTCGTTACCCTGAAAAGCTTCTGTATTCGACGAGGGGAATGCAGACCACAGGGAACATTTCCTTTTGTACTAGCAGTATTATTGCTTGCGAAAGAGCGTGCCGTTACTCCGTCGAGCAGGTCATTAAAACAAAAAAAACAGTGTATAAACTGCGACATCTCCTATATCTCTTTCTTCTTAAAGATGTTGATGCAGCAACCAATGCCCTTAGTCTTTAACAACGTGCCGCACCAGAGTCCAAGAAGGCCGTCGCAGCAGCAGCAGCCTGGGACAACCAGGCAAAGCACAGCCAAGAAGTCGCAGCAGCAAGGCCTTCCTGGGACAAAACACTACTGTGGCCCTCACTTACCGTCCCCACGCCAATTCCTCAGGGAACCTGGTGGCCCTTCTTCCCAGGTTGCTAGCTACCTCTTTATCTTTGTGCTTGTTGCCTGGCTTTTTAAATAATTGTCTGACAGCTGTTAAGGATAAAATTGATGTGTAGGACAATGCCACCTTGTTCATGCAGTGTTACACCTAGGCTGAAGGTAGCCCTTGGTACCTGCACCTCCCTCTGTGGTCCCTCTTCTCTCCCATGTGTGTCTTTTAGTCTCTAATTGGCATTAAGAAATTTGTTTCAAGAGGAAATTGCAAGTCATGTCATGCCATTGGAAAAAAAAAAAAAGGCTCAGTTGCCTAGAAGCGTTAAATCACTGCAGACCATGGAAAGCACTTCTCCTAACTTCAGTGGGATTGTGTAGGAGAATGGTTCGGTCTTCTGACTCATTTCTGTTTTCAGTTACCAGAATGCATCTTTCATAATCAGTGAGAGTTATAACCTAATCACTTAGAGAACTAGGCCTAATTTTAAAAGAGTATTTTTTTTCTGTCTGGGAATGCCTGGAAGTTAGCTTTGAAGAACATGTTTGTCATCTCTAGACCAAAGTCCAATGCAGAGATGGCCACGTCTCTTTGGGAAAAAATTTAGGTGTCCGAAATAGAAAAAGTCTGAAAACTGCTGCTTTTGAAGAAGCACTAGAAGCTTTTCTTGGGGGTTTGGATTTGCAGCCCTTCTCCCTTCTTAAGCTGTTCCCGTCTCCCTCGCACCTCGGCTGTCCTCGCCCTTCCGCTCTGATTTAGCAAGAGACCCTCTGCTTCCACAGCTGGGGATCCCGGCGCCTGCCGTGCGTGGGCGGTAATGCAAGCGGGTTGTTTGTCCTCCGTGGTTCTTATGGCTTTGGTCAGGGAGAAAATTCTACTGTTAATTGTCCTTTTGCCAACTGCATATTTAAATGAGTTATTTTAGGCTTCTAGTAGGGAGCTGTTAAACAAAAATGACGTGTGTGTCTGTATCTGCATTTCAGGGGCAGCAGCAGCAGCAGCA